GCTGAACTGCCCCAACTTCCTCAGCCTGTCTTCGTACGGGAGATGCTCCAGTCCCCTGATCATCCTCGTGGCCCTCCTCTGGACTTGTTCCAACAGTTCCATGTCCTTTTTATGTTGAGGACACCAGAACTGCACACAATACTCCAGGTGAGGTCTCACCAACACTAACTATTCTGTGATTCTATGATTTTTATCCTGAGTCAAGAAAGTTTTCCTAGTGAAACTGGGAAGTATAGTCCCATCATCAGTTTTGACTGGAAGAGGAAAATCCCCAATCAGCTCCCCATAGTATATAGTTTACTTATTTTCCCTAATAACACAGCCCATGGTGTGTCTGAATTAAAGTTCCCATTTCCAAAGACCCTTTTTCTTTCTTTTGTCCCTGGTATCAGATGTACTTTGAAAGGAAGTCGACAGTGACTCAGTTGTAGTTTCATATCCAGGCTTGCCTTGCCTAGGTGAGAACAGAACAAGCACACTGTTGGTCCTCTTTCTACCCTTCGTATACTATAAACAGGATGCAAGACACAGGTGGTGCATGTGGCAGCAACTGTAGCATTATCAGCAGATATTTCTCAAAAATGGAAGGATTTCCCCTGGAGAGTCTCTGGCCATTTTAAGGTCAGTCTGTCCTGGCAGAGAGGCAAGCTTTAAGTCGTTCAAGGGTGATTCTATTGCTGACTATAGGCAATATGAGAAACTTTCAATTCGATGTTTACTTTGGTGATCAGAGGATCAAATAACGTGAAATAAGGTACCATACTCGGTTAAGGATTCTCACTGATATTTATCTAGATATTGCAGTTGAGGAGAATTTGATTGTGTATATCCAACTTCTTAGTGCTGTTTCTGGCCTGTCTGAAACACATTTTCTTTCCTTGTCACAACTCCCAGGTGCTACTGCTGAGCAAATAGTAGTATCACTGCCAGAAGTATTTGAAAAGAACAAAAAAAATTGATTTGGACAATCTGCGTGCTGTTGCCATTGATGGAAACACAACTGTGAGTAGGGTTACGGCTGAGGTCATAAGAAGGTTAAAAGAAAAGTGCCCAGGAATCCTCTCCTGTCACATTTCACACTGAATTGCTCCTGTTTTTCAGCAGATGCTACAGACAATGCACTGCGCTCTATTAAATATGGGGAATCATTTAGGTACATTTACAAGCTACATTGAAAATTCACTCCAGAATTACTGTACTTGAAGGGCTACATAGAAAGGGCTAGAATATTGCATCAAGCTGGCACCAGATGCTATATTTATAAGTACTACACAAAAAGAACAAAGGCAGGATGAACAGGGCCCTGGCTGTTTACAAGTGAGGGCAATGTAGCCATCCTTATTCAAGAGTGTAATGCACCTCATCTGAAGTCAGCGAAGACTGTCGCTATCAGGTGATAATCTTGGTAGCACAGTATAGGTCACAGTTCAGATAAAAGTATTCTCTGTAACACTGCTTTTTCAATCGCCTGCATGGCACTGCCCAAGCAAGAGGCTTGAATCACAAGATGGACTGGTAGGTTATTCTGCCTAGTTCTTATCTGCACCTGTGCCTGCTCTCTCCTACTTACTTGGGAGCATGTAACTACCTTGAACACCCAACAGAGCAGCATGCAAGCTTTTGCACGATCAAAGGTAAAATGTGCTTAAGACAGACTTTGGAAATCCAGCACAATTTGGCAAACTTCAAAGATAGTTGCCTTTCAAATGGGTTGTGGAGGAGGCCTTGGTAAATTTGAATGGTATGATTAGCATACCGGCTGTTTTTAAAACTGCTCAAGAAGAAGCTGTGTTAAAATCCATTTCCGCAAGACACACGCATTTTCTTTTGGACAGGCTCCACTAGCTCTGTTTCTTAAATCAATTTTTCTGGCACCGACTTCTTCTTGGAAGAATGTACGACACCAGCTCAGTTTCCTAACCAAAACTTGACAGAATGTGTGCAGCACAGCATAATGGCATCTCTACTTCATGGTTTCCTAAAAGTTACAGTACAGAAACCCAGGAAGTGAATTTGACTATTCCAGGTCACATCTGTTGAAAGTCGAGTAAGACAACAGAAGATGCCAGGGTAGTCTGCCCAGCACAGTGTTCAAACACTGGTGAGAGCCACTGATAAAAGGTTTGCCAAAACAGGAGTTGCCAAGGTCTTAGAGGAGTTTCAGGGATGTGTTCAAGTCTTACTAGATTTAAAGGATGATCCTTGGCAAACTCCCCCTGATGCTTCTCAGCATTTCTAGAGCCAACAGTTGTTCCATCTGCTGCTGAGGCCGACTTTGAAGAATCCTTGCAAAGAGCAGCACACTAACTTTAACACTATACAATAAGGAAAAATACACAGCTTTTCAGAAGTGACCTAGATGTTTGCCAGTAGCTTGACACACTCTCAGGTAAGGCTGTCTCCTTGTCTCCAAACACTTGAGTGTATTACCAAAGCTGCGCTAGTGTAAACTGTGGGCTGAAAACAGAGATTTAGCAAACAGTATTTATTGAAAGATTGTCCAAGACATTAGCTGTTCATCTGCGGAAGTCTGACGTACAGTAGCAGTGAGAAAGACCACCACGCACTAACTTCAAGAACCAAGTTACTGCTGGGGGATTCAAAAAAGAGAAAACTAAAAAATGGTTGTGAAACTCAAGACAGACACTCCTTGACAACAGTTAAAAAAATTAAATTAAAATCAGCAAACACAGCAAACTTTTGGAGCTGCTGAACACAAACAAGCTTTGAAAAAGGAAAGGAAGGTCCACACAGACACGAAGGTGTTTCATTTCAACATTTAAGCTTCAGTTTCTGCCGCTGTGATAGATTTGCCAGCGTGTTTTCTGAGCGAGGCCACTGCACTATTGTATAAGCTTTATTCTAATTACTGTAGGCTGTATAAAGGTTTCTTTATCATTTAGTATTATAAATAATTGTGCTTCCAGGCTGGAGTTCAAAGCTCAGTACAGCATTCGCACAACAGCACAGGCAGGTCAGATGACCTTTCTCCAATTCTCCTCTCTGGTGCTGAGGACAGACAAAGTGGTATGTCTGTCATACGCCATTACCATTAGAACAGAATCTTGTTCTTTTATTACAACTGAACTCTGCCGGATTTCTCAGCAGGAATGCTAAGCGAAATCAATGTCTTGGATTTCCAGGCTGAGCTTGGAGGTCACAGCCACTCTATCATTTCTCAGCATTACCCCTTCTCTTTCTCTCACTCTCTCTCTGAGCCTCCAACTGGCACACAGCAGATTGAAAACAGCATGCATCACAGGGCTCACGCTGCACAATTTTACAGCCTTTTGGAGCCCCCTTCCTTTCCTTTTGGCCCACTTTTTTTCCCTGTTTTTTTTTGTTTTTGTTTTTTTTTCAATTTGCAAATAAGTTTTGTTTGTGTCCTACAGATCTGCAAGCCAAAGGCATTGGAACACCTACAAATATGAAAAAGCAGTAACACACACAGGAGAATAGAGCTGATCCTGACAGTTGCCAGTAAGATGGTTATCCTTGATGTTACCAGTAGATATGGCAGACCTTCTAATTCCATGATCGCCACAAAATAAATACAGTATCCCCTTAGATCTCAGCAGACATTCTGCTTGCGCACAGAGATCCAAAAACACTGGGATTTTAAGTATAGTGGATCTTGCAAGCTGCCAGCCACACACAAAAAGACCCTTGTAAAATGCACAAAAATCTCTTATTAACCACAGACATGACTTTTTTCTGGGGGGAAAAAAAACCCCGAACCATCAACAAAAAAGAAAACCAAAAAAAACCAAACTATCATTCAGCACTGCATGGCTTTGTGATTCATTGCTCCATACTATATAAAAGAAGAGGCCAAGCCAAGAATAAACTTTGGGAAGTCAGGAAGTGAGAAGAAAGAAAATGTAGACCCAGAACTTGATGCTCTAGCACAACAGCTACCAGTTTCACACCACTTATTCTGTACTTTGAACATGCATCTCACTGAGCTGACAATGGTTTTATTTATTTGTCTGGTTATTTTTAATCTGTGCTGTTTTACTGTTAGGGTAAAAACAAGACACTGCTGTCAACTCAAGGAATCTTTTCTGATGTGATAAAGGACACGGACAGCATGCTAGAGGACACTAACAAAAAGAAAGGATACATTTTTATCAAGCTCTGTCACCTAAATGGGACTGCCTTTTCCCTTCATCCCTTAGCTAAATTGTTCCCTCATGTTTTTTAACACCTAAGATGTGCCATTCAGTCTTGACCCATTGCTTTTGCTCAGCTGTGGCATAAGCTGAGCTCACCTTATTCTGGTGAGCTCAGCTTATGCCACAGCTGAGAAAAGTATGTGCTACCAGACATATTCTGTGTGTTTTTTTCTATGTATAACTTGTGTACTGGTTGCATTATACAGCTGAACTACAAGCTGTTAGCTTGATCTCTTAAATGAGTACAGACCTAATTGCCCAGCTATGACCAAAATTGCTAACCAGAGCCCATCACTTGATGGACAGAATCCAGCCTTGTTCTATCACACAACAGACATTCCTTTGGAGACTTGCTCCCCCACAGACTCCCACTGAACCCCAGGAGAGGACCTGGTCACAAATGAGATAGACGTCCTACTGCTTCCCATCTCTCACTGACACACTGCTAACCTGACTCCGGTCTAGAGTTCTGAGAGAAAAGGCCAGCTGTGTGCTAGAAAAGAAGATGATCACCTCAGCCTGCCACCCGTTACTGAAGATGGAAGAAACAGCAGCGTGATAGCTAGGACACTGCAAAGGAACCATGGGTTCTCAGCTGAGGTGGTGTGTGCTACTGTCACTGTTCATAAATGGTTGTTTGGTTTTTCTGTGCTGGGGTTCTCCCACTGGAAAAACTGCACTACAGGCATCCTCCCATTTCAGGAAACCATCCTGAGAACAAAGCTGCCTGTGTCTGACATGCACACACACACCCTTGAGAAAAAAAACACACATGCAAGTACCCTCACTGTGAGGAACACAGCGCTGCAGGGCCCCGTACAGTACCTTGCTTTTGGGTGGAGGGCTGTTTGTGCTCTTGTCTGTGTGGATGCTGGTAGGGGATACAGCAGCACCAAGGTTACCCTGGGGTATGCCAGGTATCTTGCCTCCTGGAGACACTTGCATTGCAGCAAGTTGGGCAGCATACAACTGCTGTAAAAACAAACAACAAATGCGGGGGTGGGGGGGAGAAGAGAGGAGAGACATCATCAGTAAATAAATAATTTTCCCAGAAATTCTTCTGCTGCAGATAATATATTTTCCTTCTGATGGGTATTCTTTTAATTGAGCACGCTGGTATATTTCAAAACAAGAATGTCAACATGAGAAATGTCCCAGCTTCCCTGTGTGTCCAGGGATTCAAAACAAGGAACAAAACATCATCTTCATGGTTTCTGTGAGCCACTGGGCAATCTTGCTTTTCCTGAGACTACTTAAGCATTAAGAGCATCTCCACTGATCATACGCATTGACCCCTGTGAAATTCACATAATGTTTGATATGATGATCTCTGTGCTACCACTTTATGTTTCTTTATTTTACTTGTTATATTTTTCTTGTTTGTACAGGCCGTAAGTTGTTCAGGACAGGAATGCCAAAATTTTGTTTAGCACTTACTGTGAGAGTCCACTTTCAGTTGGGTTCTGGGAACCACTACAGTCAATATAAATACATACAAATGGATGGTAATGTACTGTCCATTAGCAACTAGAAGCTCCAATTAGACTAAGAACCCTTTCTGTGGAACAGGTATTTCAGTATTAGCATGTGAATACTTATAATCACAGTCATCTGTTTAAAGTAAAGCACTACAGTAAGAGTATAATTGACAGAGGTCAAAAGCAGAGAGAAAACAGGCAAACTGGCAGTGCCTGGAAGCTCCCCTGACCTGCAAAAAAAAAGTGAAGAAAATAAATACGGTGGGCAGGACAAGCAGCAACTGCTGCTATTCTGCAAACAGAGGAATTTAGGTGAAGCCTAACAGAAGTCAGATGCCTGAGAAAGCAGGTAATGTAGTAAAAAAGGCTTTACCTCCCCGGTCACAATATCAGTTTCAAAGACCGATGCGACATATTATTTGTGCTGTACAGTACATGTGTAATGTGTAACACTGCATGATGGTGCTCTCTGCCTGCAGGTGCTAACAGAGCTTCTGAGACCGGATAACACGCAGGAACATGGTACTGGATGTGAAAAAAACAAGGAGGCTTCAATATGACTAGTCCAAGGAGTCTTGTTAGTGGTGCCTAGTTGCTTTGCTTCTGTTTGTTTAGTTAACTGCATATGCTGATAAAAGAACAAAGGTCAGGCACCAGACTGGAGGGCACGAAGAAATGCTAATACAAACCAACAAGTTTTAAAGAGGAGAATGGGGATTTGTATTCAACACGGAGCTGTGTAAAAGGTAGAGAGACACTGTTAATGTGAGTTCAGAGTATATAAACCCTGTAGCATACACTTAACTTGATCAAATGGGCAAGATCTACTGCTCTGATCTTGGACAACCCCAAACATTGTCCCGTGGCTCCCTGTACAAACTCTTCCCTTCACTGGTGCACAGTCCTAGCCCTTTCACATAATTAAAAGTAACCTATTTCTGTTCTTTCAGGTGTAATCAGGCACCAAGTTCTTACTTATTTCTCTTTTTCTATTCTTTTCAGTTTTGAATCCTTTTTATTTCTTTTCTCTACTTTGATCACTGCTTGTTCCTTATTTTTCTGTACTTCTTAATCACCATTTATCTATCCCTTTCTGTTTAGTCTCCCTCTCTTTCCCCATCATCCATTCATTCACCTGTTTTGTCCTTGCCTCTCCCTCAAATTTATTTATTCATTTATTCTATGTGTTACCCCCAGCGAGTCTGAGCCAATAGATGCAAATCAACTACAGATAAAAGTCATCAAAAACAATCCAGCCACAAATCAGTCACAGATTCAAATGTATGTATTTATCAGTTGAAGTTCATATCCATTCATTCTTTCAAAAGACTAAATCCAGCAGGGAGAAAGGAACAAGGGTCTGTGTCAACCAGAGAAGAACTGCAGCAGGCAGTTCAAGGAAAACCAAGCCAGATTCACGTATGAATTAATACATCAGAAGGGCAATAGTTGTTTAAGAAATAGGATCCATGTCTAGGGAACAGCTCAAACATAATCGGACTTTGGTAATGACACAACAGATCTAGGAAACGCTTTTTCTTTTATTTTGCTCCCTAATTAAAAAAAAAAAATGGCAAAAGACATCCAGGCAATTATGGGAAAAAGACAAAAGAAAGTCAAATAACCACTGAGCAGGAAAGGTTCAAGCCTGCTGCTAAACCGTAGATTACCTATCAGAGAATATGCCTAGTCCACACATAAAGGTAAAAATAACGTAGCCAGTTTGGACACGTAGCAGTCCTGAACCAACTGGAGATCACTGACAGGCCATACAGGAGGCCACCTGTGGAGGACTGAACCTCCCAGAAATTTCTGTGAGCCTTTGAGAAAGACATTTCAAACAGAATCCTTGGGAATGGAAACAGAATGGGAAGAGAGAGAAATCTCTACCTCAAACATTGTTCTCAACCTTCTGTTGAGGTCCAAAGAGTAAAACAAAAGAACTAGACTATATGCAGAACATGGTGTCTAAGAATGTGTAGCATCTAACACCCATTTAGTGGTCACTGCGAAACGTGTTGGAAGTCATGGCTCTTCCTTACAGTATTGTTATCAATCATCTTTTTGGCACTGCATCCGAAGTAGATGATGACTAAATAAGCAAGGGGAATGAATTTCCCTATGCAACAGCTCTGGTGAAAGCCATTTTTAAGTAATAAATGGAATATATGGAATTTCAAATGTTTGCCTTGCACTCAGTTCAGGGACAGATACACCTCAAGAGAGTGAAGCACAAAGTATAGTGTGCATTAAACTGTAAGGAGGAGTCTAAGGCTATAAAGCCTTCATTCATGCTTTGTAAAAACTTATGTTCTCCTGTTATCAGATTTAACATATCACCTCTTATTTAATTCATTTTGAGAGTTATAAACAAACATCAAATAAAATCTTATGAGAAGCCCCTTGTTAGAGTACCCTCTTAAAAAGTCCCTTCTTGCAACAGAAACCAACTATTCTATGAAAAGCAAAATCAGGCACAGCTCTAAAATGAAAACCATGTAGCTTATGAACTTGCAAGAGTCTGAATCCTATTTAACAAGCAAGATTGTTCCTGCATTTCCCCTCTATTTCTAAAAATGGGCAGAAATATACAACATGCAGCACATTTCTCAGACTGTCAATATGTTTGTGTTTTGACATTACTGAACTTGTCTATTCTTATTTAGTTGTTTTAGGACATGACGACCTTTAGATTATACCCAAGGAAAGGGCAATGGTGTGACCAAGTGCTGTGAAATCAAGACAGCTAAATGACAACAAATTATGTATTCATTTCACAGACAAACTCAACTCCAACAAAAGAACATTTCTACCCCTGCTTTCCCAACAGAGTTTCAAATTCTAGGACAGTGTATGAATTGACGCAGTTTAAACAGTAAACCATCACCTAAAATGCACCCTTGTACTTTTCACAGTAATGAAACACAGACCTCAAAAAGTGCCATTTAAAATGTTACTCTGTATCATTGCTGTAATACACTGTTCTTGAGCCTTTTAATTTGTACCCCAAACACAGACTCCTGAATTCTTGCTATCTCTAACCTAAAGGCTCAACCTCAAATTCTAGTACTCAAGTTCATTTTGCTGCACTACAACTCATACAAGAATTTCAACCCATACGGTTTTGACTGGTTTATTGTGACCAAGGCACTCACTTGAAATCAATGAAGCACTACAGCTTTAGACAAGTTTATTTTTGCTATACATGATAAATAAGTGCAATATTCTAAATTTAGTAAGAAGGTAGAACAGGCTTCTGAAAAAAAACAATTAAAAAGTAACATCTATTGTTTGTTTATAACTAAATGACTATTACAGTTTATAACTAAATGACTATAAATAGTTTCAGCTACCCTGCCCATGTGCAATATTGCATGCCTTTTTAATGTTTTGTCATTAACCTTTTATGAAAACCTCTATGGAAGCAAAATCCTCAGAACTAAAGCACAATATGATACACTTTTAAATGAGCAGGAGGTATAGTTATTTTTTTAATGTTGCTCCCCTGTTCTTAAGCTATTAAACAAAAATTCCCCTCCTCCCTAGGTCATCACCTAAACCACTTACAATTCTTCCGATATATTAAGCAGAAGTATTCAGCTGAACTCTCCAAATGGACTAGCTCTAACAGCTCTTGACTTGATGACTCTGTACTACATCAATAGCAAAGCCTTAAGGTTAGACCAGCTTTGAAAACCTTCCCCTTGGGCATTGTTGTTACATGTTAACAATGCTCATTACTGCTTTGAGGGTACACTAAAAATGAATTCTTGTTCTATTAATATCGAAAATGAGAATGAGATTTAATAGCAATTTTAAAAAGGGTTGAACAAATTGTTAGCAATTACATACGCAGAGATAGTTGATTCAAACATCTACAGGCATTTTGATTAAAGTATTATTTCTTTTTAAAATACTTTTATTAGTGAACAATAGAGACTAAGAGCTGTTATTAAAAGAAACAGAGAGAGATAGAGACAGGTGAGACTGGAGACTGAATTGGTTATTGCAATAAATTTGTTTCTGACATAAACTAGTTTTTCAGTGGAGTTACCACAGCGATGAATTTACAAACCACTGTGTCTAAATGTCTGAACTGTTGACTGATCCAACACTTCAATTTCTTTGTCATTTTGAGACCCATCATTAAAAATATACACATGAATGGCCCTGTTCTTTGATTTTTTGCATAATCTGGGGGGAGAAAACGGTATAAATTGAGATTCTCTCATTCAGAATACATTAATTGCATTTTCTTTACCTCAAAATTTATGCTTATATAAGGCATGCAAAGTGCTTGATTACAGCAGAAAGAATTAATTTTGGATCTGTTCATTTAAAAGCAGGACACAAGGGATTGGAAAGAAAAAGGAATTCACTTAAAACAAACATTTGACATGTATCTGTCATGGTTTAAATCCAGCTGGTAACACAGAACCACGCAGCCGCTTGCTCACTCCCCCCATTTTTATTTCCCCCCTGTCCCTGGCGGGA